GAACAATTTCAAATTCATGAATATAATTGATTATCTTTATACATTACACAATTATGAATTATGTTGTTCCGATAATATTGACAGGTTACAACAGTAAGATTTATCTAACAGCGCATTAAAAATTTAATTTATGTATCTTCTATAATTTTGATCGGTCCTCATCATACTTTGATTTTAATGAAGCTGTTTGTAGGGGAGAGGCAGGCATATGAGCACATTTTCATATCTGGACTAATAAAAAACAACAGTAAAGAAAAATTGAAAATACATACTTTTCTTAGCTTACTTACTTCTTTCTTAATATAAAAATGGTGAAATGTTTGAAATTGCTGAAAACGTGAAAGAGAAATAACATGTTTGCTTAAACACAAAGTTCAAATCTGTCTCCCCATGGGGCAGTTTTGAACAATGTGTTAAAAACCAGAAAAAAGAGAGCATAGAGTAATAATTTGTCTTTATTATAATGATATTTATTGTAATTAAAATATAAAATAAACTTATACGAAACCTAAATAAAACTACACTTCTGGACACATCTATTGGTCCCACCTTAGAGTTTAGGTTTCGATGGCCCCTGCCCAAATATGATTGCTAGATTGAACAAAAACTGTTGATGCAGTTTTAAACCTGATACATTTTACCATCTTTTTCGATCGTATTGTTTTAAATTTGAATTCAGAATACCATACGACATGGAGCTACGCCTAACAAGTCGGATATGCGCCTTGTTAAAGGCAATTGATTTTTGAATAAAAAATGGGTGCGTGTACTTATGTAGGCGCGTGAGAAGTTATCCTTCTTTGGCATCGTTTAAAATTAGTTTTTAATTGCATGCAAATAATTAATTACAATAAATTAATAAAAAGTCTGGAAAAGGACACAGTCACTAAAGTTCAGTTTTAATTTGAAAAAATAAATAAATAATCAAAATATTCAATTAAAATCGCTACTAAATATAATTTATTAGAACATATGTGATTTGCACTTGTATGAAACTCAAACACGTATTCCGAATATACAAATTAGAAACATGTGGATAAATATTATAAATATGAATACCTATAACTGTTACTTTATTACAAAAAATAAAGATGTGGTTTTTGGTTCTACTACACCAATGGTCAAGAGATGGCGCTGTAGTCTCCTGAATCGCGCTTTGGTTCCGTTGTTCCAGATTAATAAATACTTTTGATATTATAAATATGAATACCTATAACTGTTACTTTATTACAAAAAATAAAGATGTGGTTTTTGGTTTTACTACACCAATGGTCAAGAGATGGCGCTGTAGTCTCCTGAATCGCGCTTTGGTTCCGTTGTTCCAGATTAATAAATACTTTTGATAGGCCTTCACAATGCAGTCGTTAGAACCCACTAAATAGAGATTCTATTCCTACTTTGTTGGTAGATTTTCTTAATGTGCGGTAAACACAAAAGTAACGCATGAAGTTGTGTTGTTTACGAAGCGAATGTTAAAATTTTGGGTTACAGTGATGCGCGCGCATCTTAAAATTTCACTCATCATTTTTTCATAACGCGCCTAAAGAAGTATAACTTCAAAAAAATCATGTATTACGCATTCTAATGTTTCTTGGAGTTTTTAGAACTCATTGGATATTTAACGTTATATTCCAAATAACCCCAAAGTTGCAACAGATTATCATTACGTCTAAATAATTCATTGTAATTTTTCACCTTTTTAGTGACCGTATACATGGACTTATAAAAAAAGGCGGACAGAGTCCCGGTAAACAATAAACTGTGTCGCTCAGAATCGGCCAGGTCGCTGTACGTACAAGCCGGCACGCACACATTCACACAATAGTCAGCCACTACGCTTGCAAACGTCAAAGCAGCCGACACGTTACGTGGAGATAAAAAATAAGCTAAACAAGATATCTTGCTTGTAAAAAGGTGTAAAAATCGTAGTGACCGAAAGAAAAAAAATCCAGGAATCACGTTTCATAGGTAAATGAATAATTGAATCACTTTTTTCTAGTTTTTAGAAATCGAAATCAATTTTAATTCCAAGGATAAAATGATTAGTCTAAAGCCCAGTGTTGCCAATGTTCATGTTACCATATTACCTAAAATATGGGAAATTGGGTTGACATTAATTTCAATCTATTATTTATTATTCTTTTTTATCAGATTTCCTAAAGAAAATGTAGTATGGAGAAATTACTGGAAAATAAATGATTTCCAAACAAATATGTAGTAGTGTCATTTTTAGTCTTCATTTTGAAGCTCAAGACTTATATACAACTAAAGGAGGACTCCGGCGTGTTATTACGTATGCATTACCTCAAAAGGTTGATTAAAAATTTTAACCGACTTCGAAAAGAAAGAGGTTCGCAATGCGTCATATTTGTTTTTTTTATTGTTGTTTGCGCAGATCTCCGAGATTCGTGGACCGTTTATGATGATTCCTTTTTTCTTTTAATCAGTTTACTAGCGAGATGGCTGCATATTAATTTACTGGAGATCTGATGAGAACTTTCGGAGGAAAACAATGGAACTCCTCAATTACCAACAGTACTCAATGGGTGTTAGTTTATTTTAAGAAATATGAAAGAGAATGCAGGCCAGGTCATCTATATTTAGTTGATTTACCCAATATTGAGAAAATTCGATACATTCTAGAATTTCTAATGAGTCCCGACTGTTAAAGTAACTTTGTTCCTTATTAAACAGAATTCTGGACTACTGGACTTGTTTTTTTCTTTTTAGTACATTTTTTTAATTTTCGACATTTTAATTTCATTATTTTTTAATTACACGAGTTGTATATTTTCTAATTATTCTTTTAAAACCCTTCACTTTGATACTTCGCTTGACGGGTTATAAAAATACTTATACTTTTTTACGAAATGTTTCATTTTGGCGCAAAAAATCTGTCATTTTGATTTTTTTAAATTTTAATATACCGAGTGCCACACACACAATCACGACAAAACAAATGACACCTCGCATGTCAAAATCCGTCAAGACGTTCAGGCTGTAGGGCGTGCCAAATTATTGGACATACATAAAAACATTATCCTCCGCAGTCGGGCAAAAAGTAAAATTTTGAACAATCAAAATATTTTCATGTTTTTACTGTGTTTTATTGGTAAAAAATTGGCTAACCTAGCAACCCTACAATTCACTCACTCATCAATAGCCGCCGCCATTACGGTGCCTCAGTATTGTCTTAGCCGAAACTCTGTCCGCCTTTTTTATACGTCCATGACCGTATGAAGTGAAATTGACATAAACTGAAAACAGCTCCTTTTTCTTTAACCTTTTCAAATATCGCTCATTGGTTTCTTTTCGAAATGGTCTCTAAAAATAAGAAAACCAAAAGCAATTAAGTCAGATACCAAATAACCTCATCAATGCGATTTTTGGAACGGTACCTTTAAAACCATATATCTAGGGTATCGAGAACCGATTACATTTTCGGAACCGGTTCTTTCAGTTCCCTTCAAAACACAGAACCGGGTACCCGGTTCTTTCGGTTCTTTTGAGGTAAGTCATTTATTTAAAGGGTTGTTGATCAAATAATGAGGTACTTATTCAAAATCAATGAATATTTTTCATCAATAATCATGTTTTATTTATTAGAAACACAAGAATCTTTAAAAATTGCAATGTTAACAAAAACCATCGATTCTTAAATTCTGAAAAGTTCAGTTCACAGTATTCATCAACCAAATGAAATTGGACATGTTTTTGACGAATTTCATTTTTAGTGAGGGACCTTTTAAAGGTTTTGACCACTTTTCGAACTTTAGATAGAAGATCATTATATCTGAAGATCTGGATTCTGGATTCTTGAATAAGCTACTCGTTGTTGAAATCATCATCTTCAATGTCTTCTATGTCATTGTCGCTATTGTCAATTTCGTTACTAATTTCTCCTCTTCGCATAAGTACGGCTATTTCTGCTAGAGTCAAATTGTCTTCGATATCATTTTCTTGGTCGTCTACTACACGCGACAAATGGGTATCATCGTCAGAGTCTTCATTGCGTTTGTACATAACATCCATGATTGCCAGCTGAATGGCGTGAGCAATACATAACTGATGGCAGTACTTCAGATATTTACACAAATGCAACCATTGGGCTACAACCATCGGTTGTCTGGGCGACAATATCTGTAAGCCTAAGCGTAATCCATATTCATCTAACTTGGATTGGATTAATTGGACGCATTTTTCTGCTTTCATGGAACCGTTAATTCTAATTAGTCCCAAGTTATGAAATGCACATTCTCTTAAAAATTTTATGTCAATGCAGTATTACACTAGACTTAGGCTTTGGATACGAGACTTTTGAGCTTGCGCGGGTAAACAAAATGTTTTAAAATAATAACCGAAAGAACCGTTAGAACCGGGTTTTTACATCTGAGAACCGGTTCTTTTAGATACTCCCAGAACCGGGTTTTCCCGGTTCTTTCGGTTCCGGGTAGAACCGGTTCCTATGCCCTACATGTATCTATAGATCTATTCACAGAAAATGTTCAACTATAGCAGTTATTTAGAGAAAATTGTATGATCTACCCATAAATAACGATCTATATTGATAAACTACTGCAGTTTTTTGTAAAACACCTATTTCATAAATAAATGTCTCAATTAGCCTCACTTTACGGTACGACGACAGGTTATAAATCTTTTTGAAAACGAAACGCGCGCGCTTTGTTGCTTGACGTTTGTCACAGCCAGTGCTGCCAATATTAAAATGTAGTTACGGCATAAATTAACATAAAGTTACTTCAAAAATCAACATGTTCAAATCTGCCCCTGTGCTAAGGTGCCTCCTTCTCCCCTACATATGAAGCCTGTTTATGTTTGTGGAAAGAAATAAAATTATTATTATTATTGCATTGTACCTCATGCACAACCAATTCATCAATATGATTCTGTTTGATAATATCAGATAGGTATTCATACTGCACTGCACCCTTTCAACATAAATAAATGAAGTACCTATCTACCACAAATAATAAACAAGATTACAGTCTAAACGTTTATTGAAACAATCACAGAAACCTTAATAAATTATTCTACAAAAAATATCAAATTAAACAAAAGCAATTCATGTTTTGAAACAAATTTTTATTGCTTAAAAACGACATTTTTCTATATCATTATTCTAAAAATGTATATAAAATATTATACAGGACAAAGCTATCTATGTATATGAAACTAGGTTTTCATAACGCGAATGTGTGTGAATGTATATTAAACATAACATTACTTAGCTGACGTACAAATATATAAATAATCACAGTATAAAAATAAAGCATTGTTTATTCAGTCGACATCACAGCTACGCAATCTACAGAACCAAAACTACAACTGCCAAGTATAGTTAAACAGTCTAAACATAAATTATTACGTCATATTTAAATTTACAATCCATGACCTACTAAAAAGTAAAATAATAATATCAAATAAAAAGTCACATGAAAGGGAAAAACATAAGTCCTACCTATGTTTTAAAAATGGTTTATAGGAAAATATAATCAAAAATCAAAATTAAACGCCATGTGCACACTTGTGGTAATAATAAAATAAGCTGAATCAGTAAATTTGACAGTAATTATTGAGACTATCGCCAATTTCCAACCACATTCCCTCAAACAAATCTACAGACACTAAAACGTTTACAAGCGCTCATGAAACCCTCTGATCATCCAGAATTGCTATTTTATTCCAAAAACCAATTTCATCTACAATGAATGAGGCTTGACTAATGTGGTAAACTACCAGATTCAGTCATACTAATTCTGTGCATATTATCTACTTATCTACACTTATCTACTTTTGATGTTAGCTTCATGTTGACCATGTTTTTGACACCATTTCAATGGCCATCGCTCATAAAAAAAAAATGTACCTACTACTATACTTTTACTCTACGATTATGAGTAGGGCGAGGACGTAGAATTGCAGATATATAAAAAATCAGTATCAAAAATAATATCACCTTGCACAAGTTAAGACATATCAAACCATAAAATTACTTCATTGGGATGTCATGAGCGCATAATTATAATCCATCATAATGTTACTAATTTGATCATGACTAACGATTATAATTTTATATTGAAAAACAGTTCAGTAGTTGTAAGTATTACATATGACGTGAAACATTCGTTTTATATGACCAAAAAAAAAGACGTTTCCACATAACAATGTTTGTAAATTATTTCTATTTTCAGCATTACATTATTTCCTAACTTTTGTAAAGCAGTACAGGAGCTGTGCATACATTTTTAGGCAATTGATTCGGCTATACTTAATATTTGGTGCAACGTTTGTACATGAAAAATAATAGTTTAGTTATCATGAAATAATTCAGTTACAATAAGGTACAGTAAACAGTGGGTATTAATATATTAAAAACTAACTATAGTTCTGCACACTACCAATTTAAGGGCAGTAGGTAAATAATTCATATTTTTTGTCAACAAAAGAAAGTTGCAAAAATGTTCATCCTTAAAAGTTGATAAGAAATGTTTTTAAAAGTTCGCAATTTCTTTGGTTTTTTATTATGATGACAAAATAAAACAGACCACCTGCACTTTAAATGATTGAAAATCATGCTATGTTCCAGCGCACTTTTATATTTAAAATTCTAGTTTCAGTGGTGCTCCCACTTGAGCAATCTTGATACTTGAATATGCCCTAAAATTAACGTGTTCTCTACCAGCTGGTTTTACAAGTGAACGTGCACAACGACACATGAATATTTTAACTATAAATATAAATTGAAATGGTTACATAATTCCTTAATGACTTACATCTACGGACATGTCAAAGAGCATTAATGTTTTTTTTACCTCCAATCCGCAAGGTTGTGTTCTTAAAGAAGTTGATGTACTCTTACAAGATATTTGACTGTGACAACAATTTGTAAAGGCACAACATTTATCTAGCGGGCGACATTATGTAGCATACAATTTATGTATTGTAGACAAATTAGTGTTGAGATTGACCAATAATAAGAGGTCAGAGTATCGTTGATTAATTATCTAAAATTTACACAAATAATTTACGGTCATTTATATCGTTCAAGCAACTTCACACTGAGTGACAAAAATCATGTTGGTGTCTTTATTTGATATATGTAGTAACAAAATAAATATGTAATTTTGAATTATTTATGTGAAAATTTCAATTTAAACTAAGCACCTTTTTATCTCTTCAACTAAACTTTGTTTCTAACTATTATTATAGGGGCTGTTTTTTCAATCCCTAGATGAAATTTACGCCTTCGACATCATAATAATACACTGGTAAATTTAACATAGTTTGTCATTCGTTGTTTAGTGATTACGTTACTCTTATATTAGGTAATAATTTAAATGACTAATAAATTTTATCTAATGATTGAAAATTCAGTTCTAATTTAAATAAATATAACATAAAGTGGCATTAATTTAATTTTTAATAACTTCAAAACACAGGAACAAGAATAAATAAGTGACATCTCAATTGATTAAGTAGTAGAATGAAATCTATGTCTGATATAAAATATCGAAAACAACAGTCACTTTACGTATCCAGACATTTGAGTGGCGTTAAGTATGTGAAGAAAAAGTTGCTTTATAGTTTTCGAACACTTAAAACCATAGAGGTATAAGAATAGAGTCGGGAAGGCGGCTCTAAAAGTGTCCGTCTAGTAGAAAGAAGATGAGAGACCGCAAGCTTCTCTCTCTCTTGTGACGCATGTCGTCGTCGTCGACGGCGCAGTTGTCTGTCCAATAGTTGGTCCAAGCATCACATCGAAATAGTAGAAGATGCTTACGGTTGCCAATGCGCATGCGCGATTAGAAAAAGAAAACTAGCGGTCTCTCATCTTCTTTCTCTTTCTATTAGAAGGACACTTCCACTTGTAGTAGAGTCTATATCTCCCCTACTCTATTCTTATACCTCTATGCTTAAAACTCGCGGAGTAAACTCAGTTGTTCTTAGTAGGTACGACAGCGACTTCGGGTAGGTCTATTGTGGGCAGCGGCTCGCGCCAGTACATAGTTTGCGAGAACTCGTCGGAGGGCTCGCAGAGAGCTGGCGGGAACACCTGGTCTACCAGAACTGACATATGCGAGTACCTGATGGGATAGATAAATAATAAATAAATATTTGGTATATAAGAGTAACAGAAAGAATGTAATAATGTTATCATAATTATATATCAATAATAAATCGATAGATATATTTTTGTAAAAATATGTATAAAAAATAAACAATGCTAGAACTTATTTATTTTAATTATGATTTTATTTATTTTTTAAGCATTTAACTGCTAGATGTTTAAATCTAAAGAAAAGTTTACTAGAAAAAAATCCACGCGGACCAGGCAGCGGACGGGATTCGAACCCGCATCCTTCGCTATCCGGGCGAATGCACTGACCATTATGCTACCACGGCCCTATTAGCCGCGTTGAAATTTTCCTGGCCTTAAGCTGCAAGGCAGCGCCATCTCTTCGCATTGTAGGTAACCCACAATTGGATTGGATTTTTTTCTAGTAAACTTTTCTTTAGATTTAAACATCTAGCAGTTAAATGCTTAAAAAATAAATAAAATCATAATTATAATTGCTATTTCTTCTTTCAAATGTTTAATACTTGAAAAAGTATTCATTTGACATTGTGGGTTACCTACAATGCGAAGAGATGGCGCTGCCTTGCAGCTTAAGGCCAGGAAAATTTCGACGCGGCTAATAGGGCCGTGGTAGCATAATGGTCAGTGCATTCGCCCGGATAGCGAAGGATGCGGGTTCGAGTCCCGTCCGCTGCCTGGTCCGCGTGGATTTTTTTTCTAGTAAACTTTTATTTATTTTATTTTACAGGCTTTTTATTGAGATTACTTAAATATTAAAATATTTAATTGTTGTGGTGCGGAACGCCAAATTGAACACAAAAGAGTTTATTGAAATCAATTTTGCATAATAATACTAGATCATTCCACATTCTTATTTTGAAAATTAAATTTGTATCAGGTAACTCCAGTCAGACAGGATTCGTACCATTATCAATTTAACTGTATGGGCTCCAGTCAGACAGGATTCGTACCATTATCAATTTAACTATTTAGAGATTTGTTATTTTAAAGATGAATTAGCAATGGGTTCTCAGTAAGTTGACCCACAAGTTGTGAAATAACGACATACATACTATGTATTCGGTCTAGTTCGCGAAGTGAGCTTTATTGCGAAAACAGTAAGATTGAAATTATTTGCGTGATTTTCAGATAATTAATTTATAATTAGCAGTCGTAGTGAAAAAAATGTGTATTAAAAACCAGTAAAGGTATTAAGAATGCATCGAATAACTACGGCCTGATTCAATATTTATCAATAATCTTAATGAGATTCTACAGGAAATTTATCTGATTAGTTGTTCAAATCAATGTTCCGCAACTTGAAAGTCAGTAATATTAACGTTTGACACTGTTTATCCAAATGATAAAAAGAACATTACGTGCAAGTTATATCAGACGGTGATATTGGTATCATATATGTAATTAATTATCAGGTCAGTTTATTTAGAAAAACCATATTATATCAGCAGTAGCCAAAAGTAATATCTTTCTGCTAAGGAATTGTAATAATGCTGATAAAGCTTGCTATATCATATTTATTTATTCACCTATATTCCGATAATAACGCTAGAAGTCGACATAGAAATGTTAATTTGTGAAAAAAAAACAAAATATGGAAAAGTTTTAAACTTTAAATTATATATATAAATTTATGATAATAAAACGTCTCAGTGACAGTGGTCAGTGCATTCTTCCCGATAGCAAAAAGCGTTGGTTTGATTCCAGTCTGACCTCTGAATATTTGTAGTAACTTTTTCTTTAGACACAAATAACATCATATTTTTAATTCTTTCTTAAATTTTCAATATGATTCTTTATTATAGGAGATAACAGATCATATGTGTATTACAAAGAGCTTCTTATGGTGGAATGTTATGTATTAATTTATTAGTTGCGAAAAAAATATATGGAGTAGTTGTTAAGTTGGTTAATTTTAGATTATTGAAAAATTAGATAGTTATTTGCGGAATTCCTATGATTAGTAGATTATTTGTTGGTAGTAGTCATGAAATATGCTCAAACTTGTAATTTTTTTAATCTATGCAAGTTTTTAATTTTAACGTAGTGTATTTTTTATTTTATACATTAAACTGCGAGATTTTTAAATCTGCAGAGTAGATTAATTAAAGTAAAAATTTCGATTGCTTTTAATTCTTTATTTAATTGTATAAGACATTTTTTTATACCCGTATCATAAGGGTTATTATTATTGGTTTCTCACATACAATTTTATGTAAACGAAATTAAGTTTTATTAAACTACCTTGGGAATTTGGCTTCTTCAGATTTTTCCTTTGTTATTATTAAATAAATTTAACAAAATAATACAAATATTTTGAATTTCACCAGAGGTGTAATATTCATGGCTCTTTGCTTAAACTTATCCTTCACCACCGAAGAATGGGAAACAGAAATAACAGCAACCAGAGTCCAGAATGTAGAAAAAGCTTAACCTCACACAAACATCACAAGTAATATTAAACGAGACAGATGGCATGGCAATGATCGATCATGTGTGTGTGTGTGTTATCGTATTATACCAGTTGAGTTTTAGCCAATGTTTATTTGTAGTTATTTGATGAAATGAGTGCATGGTCCTTCAAGTGGCCAAGCCTTACATATCATGCCTTGGCTTACCGGCACTGTAGTGAATCCGCTAATCTCTCACTATAAGCTTAAATATAAACTAATATAACTTTGGACTAGCTTTTAACAGTTCTATCACGTTTGATTGGCGGGAAGAGATCATCGACCATGTTACTTTGCACGTTGTAACTGAAATAAAAATATATATAATATATTCGCAATATATTAATGCATCGCAGAAAGGCGTTAGTAACGTGACCATAGAACGAGACAGTGTAAATAGAGAATGGGGTTTACTCACGTCGATTGGAATGTCTGAGTCAATTCATGTTTGAGTTCGCCCTTGTAGTTGATAGTGAATATTCTTACTATCGGTATGCCGACGGCTTGATACGCGCACACATCCTGCGCATGGAAAACATCAATAAAATATAGTTCGAACTCTTCTAAGGTTATCTAAAGCGTTGAAATATGTTTGTTTTCTTGAGAATAATGTAAAAGAAAATGTCAAGTCAGCAACATCAAATTTCCGACCACGACTCTATTTTCTCTTAAAAGTTAAATAGTGCATTAGAATATTTACATCTGTACCAAAAGAATATATGGTTACCCTTTCTTCCATTATTTTGATTCATCATCAGCCTATTAATGTCCTCACTGCTGAGGCACAGGCCTTCACTATGGATGGAAAAGGGAGATTGGGCCATGACCCACCACGCGAGCCCAGTGCGGATTGGTGGGTGCTCACGACTGAGATTACAGCCAATCGACCAATGGCTTAACGTGCCTTCCGAAGCAAGGAGGAGCTCGAAATAGTAAATTTTTGGTCACCCATCCAATGACCGACCACTGCGAAAGTTGCTCAACTTCAAAGATCGCAGCCGAACGCGCTTTCGCGAACTTATTATAAAGAAATTTATTTAGATTAAATTGACAATATTTTGTCCTTCTAGTATAATTTTTGATACTCACATTAACTCTGTTGCCGTATCCCGCGTAGAAAGGATTGGATCCCTGCGGAAAGAGCGCTTTGATGTCCGCCAAGCATTGAATCTTGAACTCTTCGGGCTTCTTCTCTATGACTTCGCGGTGGAAGGCGCGCAGCAGCGACGTGGGGTTCAGTAATAGCGGCCCATCAGGCAAACATACTTCCCCTTGCCGAATCGAGCGGAGGTATTCGCGTGTCACCTAATAAGTTACAATATTGGACCTATTTATAATTTTATTTTTTTAAGCATGTAAGCTCGATGTTTAAATCTAAAGAAAATATTACTAGTAAAAATTGCACGTGGACCAGGCAGCAGATGGGACTCGAACCCGCACCCTTCGCTATCCGGGCGAATGCGCTGACCATTATGCTACCGCGGCCCTGATAGCCGTATGGAATTCTTTCTAGCCTTTCTTAAGCTGCAAGGCAGCATCATCTCTTCGCATTTGTAGGTAACACAATATCAAAAGAATACCTTTAGAAGTATTAAACATTTTAAAGAAAAAATAGCAATTATAGTTATAATTTTTTTTGAAGCAAGTAACTGCTCAATGTTTTATATCTAAAAAATAAAAATTATAAATATAATTGCTTTTTAAGTTTTTTTTAATGCGTTTTTACTAGCTCCTGTTCTTACTATGCAATATACGCAAAAATTGATAGGCAACAAAGAAATTAGGGCGGTTAGTTTTTATATACAGCGCAATTTATCCTTAGTCTATTCGGTATGAAACAAAAACCGTTTTAAAATAAGTATGTAAACTAAACTCACTCTGGCCTGGCCAATAGCGCGGGCAGACAGATACAACAACTGGTAGCCGTTGTTCTTTATCTTGGTGAAGAGTTGGGCCACCCCCGACTGTGCCCAGTCCTTGCCCACCAGTGGAAATATATGGCCTAGCACGTCCGACCTGGAGGATGAAAAAATTACATTGAACTATATAGTTTGTTAATAGGGTATTTGACAGTGTTAAAAATAAAGTGCCAATTGCTAGTATCTGTGTGTAGAATGAATATTGGCAGGGATTTTTATTATTTTCACAATAAAAATATTCATAATTTTACTAAAATCTAACGACAAAGATAATAGTTTTCTTATCTAATGTCACGTGATCCAAAACGCTTGGGAATGGCCGAGCCTAAAATGACGTCACACGCAAGTAAACTTCCGGTTAAAGTGACATTGCATTGTATCGTTTGACGTTTTAATAACAGTCGTGTGACGTCACACACTAGTAAGACGCCATATTGTAAAGAAAAACGTTTTCGCGGCAACTTGAAAATGGAGTTTTTGATTTGTGTATTTCACACAACAGAATGATGAATATCCACTTTTTATGGACTCCATAAACATAAGTCAATAATGTGAGATCGTTTTCTAAAACCTGGCAAATACCCTATTAGGAAAAAAAAAATGTTTTCATATAAAATATCGTTTGTAAACCTAATTAAGGTATAACAAATTTATGTAGTAAAATCATTTATACATAATAATCAAACTAAAATTAATGGCTGTCACTTTGCTTTTGCCTTTTCCAGAGGACAAAATTTAATTTTATCACTAGGTAAGCTAACGATAATGTTCCCAACAGTTTCTTTTTAATAGCAAATAAATTACCATATATTTACTTTGTTAAAATTTGTAATACAATGCTTGTTTTTTTATATAGGTTTCGACAAAAGTACCCCAGCATCAGAAAGCTGATGGTGATTAAACTTTTAATATGAAAGAAGGAACAATATTATTGACGTCATTGTGAATGTTGTTCTATACGTACTTGCCGGATGGTGCCGTCGTGCCGCCACCGGAACACGTTGCACTTGCAGCGCGCGGTGCCGAGTGTGACTCGGTCATTCTCTATGTGTGCGGGTTAGGATGAAGCCAGTGTCAGCCCGCTGTGTACGTACTTGGTGATGGTGCCGTCGCTGTTGGATATGACCACCTTGTCATCGTACCGCCACCAGAACATGAAGCACTTGCAGCGCGTGGTGCCGAGTGTGATTCAGTCATTCTCTATGTGTGTGGGTTAGGATGAGGCCAGTATCAGCCCGCTGTGTATGTACTTGGTGATCGTGCCGTCGATGTCGGATATGACCACCTTGTCGTCGTGCCGCCACCAGAACGCGTTGCACTTGCAGCGTGTGGTGCCGAGTGTGATTCAGTCATTTTCTATGTGTGTGGGTTAGGATGAGGCCAATATCAGCACGCTGTGTTCGTGATGGTGCCGTCGATGTCGGATATGACCACCTTGTCGTCGTGCCGCTACCGGAACACGTTGCACTTGCAGCGCGCGGTGCCGAGTCTGACTCAGTCATTTTTTGTTTTTTTTTTTTATAGATTTGTCCGACAAATGACTCCACCCCGCCTGATGTTAAGTGAAGGTGAAGTCCAGAAGCGAAGATAGCTGATACAGCAGTTCTACCTGCTACACCAGCCATCCTCACCCTGCCGGCCTGCATGTTGCTTCTTCACGCCTCTTTTAAAGGATCCCAGGTTGTAAGAGGGAGGGAACACGTAAGCGGGCAGAGCATTCCATTTACGGATAGTGCGACAAAGAAATGAGTCACCAAATTTCTTTGTACGCGTTGGAATTGTGGCCACAGTAAAACGGTGACAACGTAGGCCAGCGCGCGTGGTCCTCTGAAGGAAGGAAGGTGGGATAAGAGATAATAACTCCTCAGAACACTCGCCGTGGTACAAACGATAGAACGCGCTTAGTGACGCCACGTCACGGCGTAATTGAAGAGGCTCAAGGTGTTTAGTCACCTCCTCATCGCCTATGATGTGGATCGCGCGCCGCTGTAACCTATCCAAAGCATCGAGCAAGTACTTGGCGGAGCCATCCCAGAGGTGCGAGCAATATTCCACGCAGGACCGCACTTGCGTTTTGTACAACAAGCACAGTTGATCGGGCGTGAAAAAACGCCGCACCTTGTTCAGGACTCCGAGTTTGCGTGAAGCTGTTTTGATCACGGTTTCGATGTAGTCCTTTGGATTCAGGTCTGAGCGAACTTCCACACACTTCCACTTCACCGAGCATGGAAATGTTGCTCTGCAGCGGTAGTGTTGTGCCTTGAAGAGATGGAAGGGGAAGGAATGGCGATGTTTTTGCCGTGAAAGCGCAAGCCTGAGTTTTCATGGCATTGAACTCAACCAAGCTCCTGGTACCCCATTCGGAAATGTGGTCCAAAGCCTGATTGAGTTCAATGACAAGATTTTCCTGTTTCTCCTTGGTTACTGCCTGCCCAGCCGCTGCTTGTCCGAGATACCCCGCATGCACTGTACTATCGTCTGGATAGCAATGAATATTCCCAAGAGGAATCAAGTCATTGATATGCAGCAGAAAGAGAGTGGGGGATAGGACGGAGCCCTGGGGAACGCCGGCATTCACTGACATGAACCGCGAACTGCTACCATCCGTAAGGACACGAATTCTACGCTCATGCAGGAAGTCAGCTACCCAAGAACAGAACTGGGCTGGCAGACCGTATGCCGGAAGCTTGGAGAGAAGGCTTTTGTGCCAGACCCTGTCGAACGCCTTGGCAATATCAAGGCTGATAGCCAACGACTCGCCACGCTTGTCGATAGCCTCACCCCAGATATGAGTTAAGTACGCTAGAAAATCACCCGTCGATCATTTCGGTCTCAATCCATATTGACGATCATTACTCAGGGAGTGATCCTCTAGATAGCGGGTCAGATGGTTATTAAGGACCTTTTCTAGAACTTTACATAAAACTGAGGTGACTGCAATTGGCCGGTAGTTTACCGGGTCTGAGCGTTCCCTTTTTTGGGCACCGGTTGCACGTTAGCATCTCTCCAAGTCTCCGGCACACGCCCCAAAGAATACGAGCATTGGTACAAGCGCGTGAGCACGGGAGACAACTCCGCTGCACATTTTTTCAGTACTACTGCTGGGATGCCATCAGGTCCACTAGCTTTCCGGAAGTCGAGTGATTTCAATTCGGCACGAACCTCACGCTGTCTGATTTTAATATCAGGCATCGTTGTGCCACAGTGAGGTAATGATGGTGGCAGTGCATTGCAATCATCGATTCGGGAGTTAGCCGCAAAGAGTTTTGCCAGTAAATCGGCTTTCTCCTGCGGCTTATGAGCTAGTGTTCCGTCTGGGCATCTCGGTGGCAGCGAGGGCTGGCAGAAGTCTTTTTTGCACGGCCTTGGCCAAACGCCAGTAGCTACGGGAGCCCGCAGGATGCATTATAAGTTCCTGGCCAACACGTGCCAGGAACTTAATATGTGTTAATTCTCTATGTGTGTGGGTTAGGATGAGGCCAGTATCAGCCCGCTGTGTACGTACTTGGTGATGGTGCCGTCGATATCGGATATGACCACCTTGTCGTCGTGCCGCTACCGGAACACGTTGCACTTGCAGCGCGCGGTGTCGAGTCTGACTCAGTCATTCTCTATGTGTGTGAGTTAGGATGAGGCCAGTATCAGCCCGCTGTGTACGTACTTGGTGAGGGTGCCTTCGATGTTGGATATGACCACCTTGTCATCGTGCCGCCACCAGAACACGTTGCTCTTGCAGCGCGTGGTGCCGAGTGTGATTCAGTCATTCTCTATGTGTGTGGGTTAGGATGAGGCCAGTGTCAGCCCACTGTGTACGTAGTTGGTGATGGTGCCGTCGATGTCGGATATGACCACCTAGTCGTCGTGCCGCCACCAGAACACGCTGCACTTGCAGCGCGTGGTGCCGAGTGTGATTCAGTCATTCTCTATGTGTGTGGGTTGGGATGAGGCCAGTATCAGCCCGCTGTGTACGTACTTGGTGATTGTGCCGTCGATGTCGGATATGACCACCTGTCGTCGTGCCGCCACCGGAACACGTTGCACTTGCAGCGCGTGGTGCCGAGTGTGACTCATTCTCTATATGTGTGGGTTGGGATGAGGTCAGTATCAGCCCGCTGTGTACGTACTTGGTGATGGTGCCGTCGATGTCGGATATGACCACCTTGTCGTCGTGCCGCCACCGGAACACCTTGCACTTGCAGCGCGTGGTGCCGAGTGTGATTCAGTCATTCTCTATGTGTGTGGGTTGGGATGAGGCCAGTATCAGCCCGCTGTGTACGTACTTGGTGATTGTGCCGTCGATGTCGGATATGACCACCTGTCGTCGTGCCGCCACCGGAACACGTTGCACTTGCAGCGCGTGGTGCCGAGTGTGACTCATTCTCTATATGTGTGGGTTGGGATGAGGTCAGTATCAGCCCGCTGTGTACGTACTTGGTGATGGTGCCGTCGATGTCGGATATGACCACCTTGTCGTCGTGCCGCCACCGGAACACCTTGCACTTGCAGCGCGTGGTGCCGAGTGTGATTCAATCATTCTCTATGTGTGTGGGTTGGGATGAGGCCAGTATCAGCCCGCTGTGTACGTACTTGGTGATTGTGCCGTCGATGTCGGATATGACCACCTGTCGTCGTGCCGCCACCGGAACACGTTGCACTTGCAGCGCGTGGTGCCGAGTGTGACTCATTCTCTATATGTGTGGGTTGGGATGAGGTCAGTATCAGCCCGCTGTGTACGTACTTGGTGATGGTGCCGTCGATGTCGGATATGACCACCTTGTCGTCGTGCCGCCACCGGAACACGTTGCACTTGCAGCGCGTGGTGCCCTGGTACGCGGTCGTCACGCTGAACACCATCTCGTTCATGCCCTCGCGGAGATTCAGCTCTTTCTGCGTTCACGAAATTGAAAAAGACCATTGGATAAGATACTTGGAACAAAGCCTAATCTAGCTAGATTAAAAGAAAACAAGCCATACAAAAATGTAAAAATGACAATGTCAGTTTGACATTATTGTATGGGCTAAATCTAGTTTTAGTTAAATTGGGATTACGAAAATTGCTGGAAGTGGGCCTTAGTTTATGCACCCCGGCAAACTTCTTAAGCAACGACCATAGAGAAGGACGTCTGCGCAGTATCAATTTACATACAAACATATCTGTTAGTTTAATGATTTAGGAACTTTGTTGACGGAAATGAATTCATGTAGCGCTTTCTTTAAACACAATTCGATAACAAAAGACTGCGCCATTACTCCGGTCAATGAAAGTAGCTAGTTTCATGAACATAGTCAAAAAATATTTTACACCATAATTACATACTTACAATTTGTTCGGATGACAGCCTTAGCGTCTTCCGGAAGGTAGAGTGTCGGCGTTTGGGCACTCGCTTTCCTTCCTGATCGGAATCGGAGGAACTGTTTTCTTGGAGGTCATCTATAGAAACCATATTTTAAATTAAAGCTTTTTTCATAGGTAACAATTTTCTTTTTTAAGCATAGTCGTATGTTGAAGTGTAAATTAAAAAAAAAACTCTTTAAGGAAAACATGTTGGATTAATTTGCCTTAATATTTTGAATTACTTTTTCCCTGGAATAAACAAAACCTCCAATTCATCTGATGAATGTGAAGTTAAAAATCAATAAAAAACTAGGGGGCCGCACGTAACTTAAAATATAGCCTCTGACGCTTACAAATAACGTGGCTTTCTAGAGGTAAAAAAAAACAAAGCAATTTCAGTCGACCAGAGATAACCCCCTACAATCTCACAAACTTTACATTTTTATAATATTAGTATAGATTTACTTATATTAGTACAAGCGGCCGCCTGCGACTTCGTCCTAGTTAACATTACGTTTTTTTCAGAATCGCACAAAAACCAAACATTTGCTAAAAAGTATCCTATGTCTCAAACCAGGTGAAAAACTATATGCATATAAAATGTTATCCAAATCCATTAAGTATTTTTTTGATTAAGTAACAAACATACAAACACTCAAGCATTTATAATATTAATAGCGGCCGCCTGCGACTTCATCCGCGTTCACTTTAGTTGTATGAAAATCCCTCAGGAATCTCACACTTTTCCGGAATAAAAAGTATCCTTCGTCTCAATCCACGTCACAAAACTATATGCGTACCAAATTTCATCCAAATCCCTTTAGTGGTTTAGGCGTGAAAGCTTAACAAACAAATAAACAAACGAACAAACTCACTTTCGGATTTATAATATTAATTAGGACCTACCTTTTTCTTGTATCACAGGTTCAGGTTCTGGGGCTGCGACTTCCTCGATCACAACAGTCTCTTCCGCTTCCGGTGATTCCAGGACCTCTTCAGCAGGGGCAGTTTCAGAGATAGGCTCGTCCACCGTAATCGATTCCATCGTTACTTCGGTCACAGTTTCTATTTGTGTCACGTCCATTTTCTTATCAGATTCGTCTTTTGATGAGGACTCGGAGCTACAAGAATAAAAACAGAAACGACATTAACCAATACTATTTACTATCATAATTCCTACCCTGTGAAAGTTAGACAACTTTATTCTCTCTCTACTGAATCACAACTATAGATAAGTGTCTGTCATTATAATTTGGCTGCAGTCTTATGCAAGGTGAGAAATAACACTTTTTTGTACATACCATTGTGCGGCCAACGTACGAATATGATTCTGTTCGGTGGTGTCATTTAAATATGATGAAAGAATGTTTATTTTTGGTTCTCTTTTTTACTAGATCGAAAGTATACTTTATTCTGTTAACTTAAGGAGGAACCGACACGACCTGTCAGGCATCACTTTACGTGATGCTGCGCTGTGCTGTGCCAGATAAATTCAATCAACTAATTCTTATTAGATTAAAATAGGGATCACAAATAAATATTATGTGGTTTGTGTGCTCGGTGTGGATATGTTTTGTTTCTATAGTGCACGCGGTGAAAGAATACATTAATGTCACGTTAGTTGTCCACTTTCGATTTAGTGAATAAAGATGTCGAAATAAACTCAATTCTTTTAACATAAGGAACAGATAGAACCTATCACGAACCAATTCTTACTACAGCCGCATTTAAACATTAGCACAGTTTAACACAGCAATGTTGATAGTCACCCTCAAGCTCAGTTTTCAAAGGTGGGTGCGAAGCAAATGTCATTGCCAAATATGAATTTAGTTGGCTGGCAGTCAACAGTTCAGTCAACTTTTGACAGTGTCTAAATAAGAACGAAATGGTGATACATTTGTCTGCGATGATGTATTGTTGCCAAATAGCCCGATATTCCTGAAATATGATCTTATAAGAAATATTTGTATTTCTGATTGACAGGCCATCAGAAACTGAATCGTTATACCTAGGGACAATGTCAAAGAATAAAATCTGCTTTGGCAAAGTTTTATATCGCTTCTGAATAAGGCAGTGCACTGATCACTAACGGCCGTACTTCCAGATTCGTCAAAAAACTTAATGCAAACGTAATGTTTTCTTATTCTATTGCTATCTTGGAAAAAGTGATATGACCACTTTTATTAAATTTGAAATAAAAATTTGTTGACGTCTCTCACTATCTCCTGTAGTTTTGAGCAGATTTCATTCCTGACTAGCGAGACGTATTGTCAAAATTAATAGCGGTAAGTTTTGATATCAGTGTGGATTCCCGTGAGCGGCACTTTATAAGTTTTGTAAGTTTCCTTCGTGTTCATGTTTATTTGTATTTTTTTATTATTCTCAGAAATTTATTAACTATCTCCTTTTTTATATGAGAAAAGTTTTCTATTAATATGAAATACGTGCATAAAAAATAGAAATTATACATAATGGTAGTAATTATACAAGTGGGTATTTTTGGATTTAGTCGAGCGTGGTAGATTAACATAATGGGGATAACCTTGCACCTTGTGAAGCACTACCACCATACCCCTGAGCCCTCTATGAAGGGCCGAACGTTTAGGCCAGCAAAAAAAAATCAACAAACGGCCATGACTTTAGGTCGCGTCCAAATCGTCCGTCTTTTGTATAGAAGCTCGTGGAGGGTTTAAAATGGCGAGAACCTGTTAAGCGTTTACTGTGTGGTAGTGCTATGTTGTTTATGTATTCTTACCGTTTAGTTTCCGAATTTGATCGACGCCAACTCCACCAGGAGTAGCCGCGTGGTTTGGTAGTAATATCCACAGTTCTCGGCCCTTCTTTGTCTGACTCTTTCTCCAGCGACTCCAATACGCGCTGTGTATCAAAACAATAAAATTTTACTAACCAACTGATTGTAAGATTACAGTTTTTTGTTGGAATAGCTTAACTATTTTTAATGCCATTTGATGCACATGTGGAGACAGTGTAAGTTTGACAGCCAAAGAATAAGGTAGTTTTGCAGACAATGGTATGAGAAATAGTCTCGTTTTTGATCTTACAATAAATTCGCGGCGATCGCACGATATTGATATTGTACTCCTGCAGTGTATATAACTCAGGCTCTGTTTTTGAGTGCTAGCGCATTCCTCCAAGCAGCAATCAGATCACGCGCATATTGTACGTATAATGGCCAGCGCTGCGCCACGGCAGCCAGCGGTCGCCCAGCCGCACCAGCAGCTTGCCCTTGTTGTGTGTGTGTGTGTACGTACTGTGGGCAGCGGGCGGCGGTAGGCCAGCAGTGACAGCAGCAGCGGGCCGGCACTGCGCCACGGCAGCCAGCGGTCGCCCAGCCGCACCTGCAGCTTGTCCTCGTTGTGTGTGTGTGTGTGTGTGTGTGTGTGTGTGTGTGTGTGTATGTGTGTGTGTACGTACAGTGGGCAGCGGGCGGCGGTAGGCCAGCAGCGATAGCAGCAGCGGGCCGGCGCTGCGCCACGGCAGCCAGCGGTCGCCCAGCCGCACCTGCAGCTTGCCCTCGTTGTGTGTGTGTGTGTGTATGTGTGTGTGTACGTACAGTGGGCAGCGGGCGGCGGTAGGCCAGCAGCGACAGCAGCAGCGGGCCGGCGCTGCGCCACGGCAGCCAGCGGTCGCCCAGCCGCACAAGCAGCCTGCCCTCGTTGGCGAGGGTCGCGCCGTGAGCGCAGAACTCCTCGAATGGCAGAGCGCGAGATACAACGTCTTCTCGTACGTATACCCCCACTTGACCTCTGCCAAAGAGAAACAATATTCTATATAGTGGATCTCCTATTGATATGGAGTACATATTCAGTATTTTACTCTATTTTTTTCATTCATTGTTAATGCCTTGCTTATCACATGCAATGCATTATCAAAACATTTATTTACATTTGTTCTGTTTTCAAATCGAGTCAAATCCATTCAATTTAAACTAATATAAACGAGTTATTTAAAATATTGTTTTAGTATCTTAAATTCATTACTTAAATAGAGATGTCCATCTTTATAAAATGAATCAGTAACACGTTTTAAATAGATCTGGATTTCAGTTAGCAACTTAATAGTGAAACAATATTTTTGCAATCTAATATGTAAAACAATAGGTAACCCTGAAAAGCAATTCGATAAAATATCTTACTTAGCCAATAGTTTTTCGTCGTCATCTGAATCTAAGACGGGCGGGTCGAGCGACGCCGGCGACTGCGGCAGCGAGGGGCCGTTGCCGGACTCGTACTCCTCCTCGGTGGGACCGCCCGCGGGATGCGGGACGTTAGGCACGCCTGTGAAATTGAAAAGCATTGTTCAACTAAGCTTTACTATAAATATCGTTCAACAAGCACTATTCAACTAAAATTCGCCATAAATATCGTAATTCCACGTTTATCACGAACTTACACCTCGCGCTATTCATATGAAAATTATAGAAAAAAATAAATACAGGAGGAAAGTAAATGTTCCCATCAACTCAAAACAATTATTACGACCTAAAATAATCAGTGCTTGGACAATAATTAAGTCCTAAAATAATCAGTGCATAAAGGCAACCATGACTCAGATGACTTAGTCCTGAGTCCTGATTTTGAGTCTGTTGGAGCAGAAAGTGCTGAGATGCACCAAATGGGCGACAAATGGTTTTACGTTAACTTTAATCAAATTTGATTTGATAAATAAAAATAAAAGATCCTTTAATTACTGCTTTTTGAATGACAAATGTACAATATCCTAGTTTAGTATAAGAATATAGCACTAACGTCAAATATCCCTTACCTGTGCGGTATCTTTCGGTGTGGTGTTTCGTTAAATAAAGATCAGGGTCGACTTGGCCGCGATCGAGATCGTCGAGGTAGACGCCTTCGGTGGCCACCTCATTCGCTTCCCGAGTAGACATGAACCGGAACATTCCGGACAAGACGCCTCGTCTCGCAGATCGTTCCTCATCAGAGCTTAGGGGTTCAGTGGGTGAGGAAGGGGACGCGGGAGACGCGGGGGACGCAGGGGAGGCGGGGGAATCAGGGGTGGCAGAAGCCTCCACGCGTACTGGCGGTTCGGGTAATTCTCCCCAGCGCCAAGATTGCGAAGACTTATCCCCGCCAGCTGTACGAGCCAGCTCCACTTCAGTGTCAGACTGCACGGGCGTACCATTCCGAGAGCCCCTGCAAATTACCCAGCCTTAAATCCCACACATTCAACTCATAATTATCAACCAAGTTCAATAAATCAACCTCCAGATAAAGGTAAGGATAATCTGCTTACGCTTCCTAGCAACAGTTGTCATAAGCTTAAAGCTCTTATAGGTCTATCTCTTACTGGAGTATGATTCATTGAAACTGGCAATAAGAGACTTAGTGAACAATAAGATACAATAAGTGTAATCAAGCTAGGCTGTTTACAAGCTAAGTTGTATATAGGCGATGCGTATGATTTGGTTGTTATATACGCTATTATTTTGCATTGTTCCTTTATATCAGTCAGTGCTAACTATGTTTAGTTGAAAATAAAATTTGTATTCTTTATATTCAATAAATCTATAAACAACTGACGGTTTTAATATTTCGGAGAAAGACTTGATTACTAGGAAGTTCTTCAAAGTTTTAATTTATTAAGGCCCACTTGCACCAAATGCGCATAAATCATACACATCACAACAGTCGTGATAAATGTAAGAGTTAAATTTACAAACCGTTCAAGAAAGTGTTTTTTTATTAAATGAGCAGTGAATATGGAATCTAAAAAAATATCTATTAATTGTCCATCATACTTTCTGTAACGTAAAATATTTGTTAATAACTCCTAAAATATTTCCCGCGAAAGTGATTCTGACCAAAGTCCGCATTGGTGCATCAAATAAATTACATACATAACGTACGTAAGTCTTTGTACAGATATAAACAGTATTTCTAGTACTTCTTATAGATCAGCTATACTCTAAGTGTGTTCCGCGGAACCCTAGGGTTCCGTGATACCTCTGTCGGGGTTCCGCAAGAATTTAGAAATAAAAAAATCAAAACACCTCTCTCTGGTCGCTCCGCGGCTGTGCGGACTCCGCGGCCGCGCGGAGACAAAACGCTATGAATGTTATTTATTTATTTATTTGTATTTGTATAAGCTTGTGTTACATTAGCTGGTACAATATCTCATAAGTTTGGTCTCAACAATTTTATACTTGTACAACGCGTTCGCTCTAAGTTTGCCGGTCTGTGGAATGCGCGTACCCTCCCCCACGTGACAACAAAACTTATAATGTGTCATAGTTTTACCCAAATATCTAACGTACACAATTTTTATTGTTACAATTAAATAAAAAATTTCGAACGTCATACACTCATACCTATCGCCAGCGGCAAACTTAAAACGAGCGGGTAGTATACTTGTAAGCGCTCAGTCTCTTTGATAAAAGCCGCCTCTGAATTAGACGCTATAGTTGTCAACTAGCGACTTTCGTCTCTAACTTCAAAGGATAAAGTCGATATTGTTTACAACGCTATTTTTAAATTTCTGTTTTTATTTTTGCTTTTTGTTTATCAAAGGTGCCGACTCGAGTATTTTCGAGAATATTTGAGATCGAGTCTAGGACTAAGTATAAAAGCGGCGATCGCGCGTTGGCGTCGTCAGTTGATGATTAGCGTTCGGAGCGATAAGTTACTACCTACTTACAAGCTCGCTAGCGAGAAACTGGTGTTCATTGTTTTACTGCCTGCTGTATTCTGTTGTCTCAGTTTTATACATTTCTTCCCTGTAGGTTCTAAATTTAGTCTCTTATACGCAGTAACGATTGTGCATTATTTAAACCCCACTATCCTGACTTGTAACATTATAAATAAAGAAGAATGGAACGTTGGCTTAAAGGTGTTAAACGTGTTCCAACAACATCTTCTAATGACGCTGAATGTTCAAAAGCAATGCGCGCGGAGAATTTAGCAATCACCGATCCAGAAGATGATGCCACGAGTGCCACGACGTCAAGCTCGACGGTTTCAAAGACGAAAAAAAGGAAGTATGATGAATCTTATATCAGTTTCGGATTTGTTGATTCCAACGGCTCACCTCTCTGCATGCTCTGTAGTAAACTGCTTCCTAATAGTTCCATGGCACCTGCCAAATTGCGTCGACATTTAGAAACCGTACACCCCGAGACTAAAGACAAGAATAAAGAATTTTTTGTTCGCAAAAAAGATCAGTTATTAGAAAGTCAAAAAAATATGATGCATGTAACACAAACTACCAACGAAAAGGCCACGGAGGCATCATACTTAGTTAGCTATCGCATTGCACAAGCAGGTGAAGCGCACACTATCGCTGAGAAATTAATAAAACCATGTGTATTAGACATAACAAAATGTATGCTTGATGAAAAATCTGCAAAGCATCTTTCTACTGTTCCGCTATCAAACGATACTGTTTCACGACGAATCCATGATCTGGCAAGCTACGTCAAACAAGAACTAGTTACACGTCTACAAAATACACGATTCGCTTTGCAAATGGACGAGTCGACTGATGTCGCTGGTTTGGCTATCCTGCTGGTTATTGTGAGATATCCATATAAAAGTTCTTTTGAAGAAGACATGCTTATGTGTTCATCGCTGCTTACAAACACTACCGGGGAAGAAATTTTTAATAAAATAAATATATTTTTTGAAGAACATAATCTCAGTTGGAACAATTGCATTGACATTTGTACAGATGGGGCCAAGGCGATGACAGGTAAAACAGCAGGAGCAGTGTCACGAATGAAAAATAAAGCGCCTAATTGTAGTTCCAGTCATTGTATTCTGCATAGACAAGCACTTGCGATGAAGCAAATGCCGTCTAATCTAAAATTAGTTATGGATGAAGCGGTAAAAATAATTAATTTTATCAAATCACGACCACTACAATCCCGATTGTTCTCATTATTGTGTGAAGATTATGGCAGCAAACATAAAACACTGCTGCTCCATACAGAAGTGCGATGGCTGTCTCGGGGAAAAACTTTAACAAGGCTATTTGAACTTAGAGCCGAGTTACAAATGTTTCTTTCAGCAGATACTTCTTTTAATTTGAAGGACCGTTTGTATGATAAAACTTGGTTGTTCCGATTGTCTTTTATGGCGGATATCTTTCAAAAACTTAACGAATTAAATTTATCATTGCAAGGTAAACAGACAACAGTGTTTCAGGCCTATAATAAAATAACTACTTTTAAAAGAAAATTAGATTTTTGGATCATTTGCATTGGTAAGAAAGAAATAGAAAGTTTTACGTTACTCACTGAGTTTGTTAGCGAAAACGACTCAGAAATGTTTGAAGATAATGTGTTTGAAGAATTGGTCCAATATCTCAGTTCGATGCGCGCATCTTTTGAAAAGTATTTTCCCGAAGAACACAATACAAAAATTAAAGTGAACTCCTGGATTCATAATCCTTTTTTACCCAACTTGGAAAAGCCTGAAAACATGTCAAATGAGATATATGAATCTCTTTTAGAAATGTCATCAGACACAAGTATGGAGTCATTGTTCAAAACGACGCCTCTTAATGATTTTTGGTGCAGAATCCAAGATGAATATGCAATGCTTGGCCAAATGGCTCTGGATATTCTTCTCCCGTTCCCAACTACATATTTGTGCGAAACAGGATTCTCTACCTACGCAGCCACGAAAACAAAATATCGCAATAGACTGGACGCCGAAGCTGATATGAGACTCCAACTTTCTTCCATCAAACCTGATATCAAGCAATTGATGAAAAATAAAAAACAGTTTCATACCTCCCACTAGTTAGATTTTTTCTTTTTTAATGTTTTCTATTATTGTCCTTACCAAGTGGTGAAGTAAATAATAATTAGTAACGGATACATTGTACTTTTATTATGCTGATTAATATAGAATACACTTATAAAAATAATTGTTTTATTGTAGGGTTCCATCAAGTATTTTGCTTCCCAAAAGGGTTCCGTCATTTAAAAAGTTTGAGAACCACTGTTATAGATCAAATGTAACATTGCCAACTTTGAACTTGAGAAGAAGAAAAGATAAAATCATTATAATGCACTTTTTTTGCAATGTAAAATTTTAAGAGATTCGTTTTATTATCAAGCTTATTGCGTTATGCGTAAAATTGGTAGAAAAATGGAAGCGTGATTTACTTGTTTATAATTCAAGCTTTTTTTTACTAATGTTAACATAAGATTTATTTGCATCAATTTCACAAAGTAAAACTTTTCTTGAATGTACTTTTGTATATGAAATCTATAATACTTCACAGTTTATGTTCTTCATTAATTGAATAAGATGCAATTATTACTATTTATATTATTTAAATGATTGCATCAAGCGATTTGTCTAATTGCTCAACTTGCAGCTATCTACTGCAAAATATTTACAAAAGTCTAATAAACGCTTAGCGGACTACTATTAGTGGTATACTTAGTACAAGCGAAAATACGTATCAACTCTATAATTTTAGTCAAATAGTACTAGTACATGGTGACAACAGCAAGCGTGATACTGTGAACGGGTATTAATATTGTTATATCGTTTACGCATGTCTGGAGGCGGCGTGCACCTCAAACGCTGTGTCGGACAACGCCAGCGGGATGCGGTTCTCCCCGTTCAACTTCAGGTTGGACATCTCTTCGCTGCAACCAGGTAATTCGTTCACAAACGCAGAGTAAAACAGCTTTTAAACGCGATCAGAAATTCGTAATAATGCAAATCAAAAATGTAATCACATGCTCGTCAATCAATTATAATGTTTGGAACGGCTTTCTTACCTGAGAGCAGCAGCGTTGATTTCGCTATCACTGAAGAAGTTGATATCAGTGACGTTGGGTATGGAAGCCGGCTGCGATGCTCTTTGTTCAGAACCAGCTCGGTCCGACTGGCTAGATATCGAGCTCGTCGATGATTTTCTTTGATGCTTTTTTTTCGAGCTCATCTTCCTAGTCTTCTTCTTTTTCTTTCCGTTGCCGTTCTGTTTGAGCTCCTCTAAGTTTGAGGGTACGGCTTCTATAGGTCGAAAATCGTTATTGGCACTAATTTTTTGCACAGTTTGACTAGCTTCACTCCCTGCACCACCGATTTGTGTCGCCGCAAAAGTTTTGGGCGTCCGTCCGTCAGTCCAGTCGCTCGCCTCGTCAAGACCTTCCATCTCGAACAATGCTTCATTTTCATTATTTTTGTCATTCTTATTGTTAGTAGTACTCTCTTCTTTGGTATCTTTTTTTGTTAATTTACTTAAGTTAGGTTTCTGCATAGTTTGACCGTCTGCGGTGTACCTGCAAGTATTTAAACAATTTATACAAATCTAAAATACGATTATAAAACCTACGGAAGAATCACCATTACAACTATGGCGGCACAAACGCATAAATAATTAAAATATTCTGTAATTTCGCTTTCGAATTACACGCAAGTGTTCACACTCGTCAAGTTGCGATATAAACTCAACCCTCGCTTTCCAACATAGCTAATTATGCAGTAGTTCTAAAAGGCACAGAACAGAAAAAAACTATTGTATTGCCAAACTTACTTATTTATAGAAAAGGTTGTGTTGTTTTTATAAATTTACTAAAATACATTATAAATTTGGGTTTATATTTTCCGATTGCTATTTTATGCATAATTTCTAAACCCACAAAGATTTTGCGGAGGTAGGGTGAAACAATGATTCCGTCAATTTTCTATCTTTCGGGACAAATTATTACTACTAATCTGCAAATATCGACAATAAACTAAATGTAGCCTTGGTTAGTACGTGCCTGCACATGGCTAAGCAGCCACGGAAAAGCTTGTAGAGGTCATCGAACGACGCGGAAGGTTTCTATCCTTCATGGCACCGGCATAAATTACCATTTTGCAGAATTCTTATTTAAATTTCCATATAAGGATAGTGGAATTGGAATCCTTTATGAAAGTTAGGGCATAGCAGACGGCCGCTCGAATAAGCAGCCGTCTAGGGAAGTAACAGAAGATCACAGTGAAATAAAATTAGGTATATTACCCTAGCAATTCAAGCAAGTAACAATTTCATAAGTCCATATCCTAAGGTATATAGTATTTTGTTGCTATTTTGTGCCGCAAGAATTGATTTTGTTGCTCCAAGATTTCTCCGAAAAACGCCTGTTACACTGCTGTTACATCGCTGTGGTTTCGCTAGCGTAATATTACGCTAGCGAAACCACAGCGATATCTCGGAGGCAAAAGCAGTTAGAGATATCGGATGAACGGTATATTTTGTTGCTGTAAGATAAGCTGGTTAGATATGAAAAAATATAAGCCCTTCATGGGGGGCTAACTACCCTTATTCTTAGATATCTCAGATTTTTCGTATCTCGTGAACTAAAAAAGCAGCTAGCGGCACGAGACAAACGGCGTATTTTGTTGCTATAAGATAAGCTGGTTAGATATGAAAAAATATCATCCCTTCATGGGGGCTAAATACCCTTATTCTTAGATATCTCTGATTTTTCGTATCTAGTGAACTAAAGCAGCTAGCGGCACGAGATAAATGGCGTATTTTGTTGCTATTTTGTTGCTGTAAGATAAGCTGGTTAGATATGAAATAATATCAGCCCTTCATGAGATACGAAATATCTGGTGTCTTCTGGGTTGTGATTATGATGTACGCAGCATACCTATCTTATAGCAAGAAAATATGCCGTTTGTCACGTGCCGCTAGCTGCTTTAGTTCACGAGATACGAAAAATCTGAGATATCTAAGAATAAGGGTAGTTAGCCCCCCATGAAGGGCTTATATTTTTTCATATCTAACCAGCTTATCTTACAGTAACAAAATAGCAACAAAATATGCCGTTCATCTGATATCTCTAACTGCTTTTGCCTCCGAGATATCGCTGTGGTTTCGCTAGCGTAACAGGCGTTTTTCGGAGAAATCTTTGAGCAACAAAATCAATTCTTGCGGCACAAAATAGCAACAAATTAGCAACAAAATACTATATACCTTAGAATATGGACTTATGAAATTGTTACGCTAGGGTTATTGTTACCTAATAAAATTACTTTTTCGGTGGTATTGTCTTTCCGTCGGCGACTGAGGTTTCCAGGGCTCAACGGAGGATAGGAAGCTAAACAGAATCAGAGCCAGCAACGTGCGTGTGACACCTCTTGTGTACCGCATGATCGTTTGCTACACTTATGATATAAAAAATAATGTGCCTATCATAGTTATTGTTTGTTGGTAATAGCACAATTCATCAACGGACACGGTAGATAAGGAAACTTTATAAAATGACGGGCTAGCTTAGCTCCATTCGCAATAATCTTACCTTCGCTTAGTATAGTCAGAGGCTTGTCCATGGTCGGGCTCGACGGCGGACAGCGAGTTTCTTCGCCGTGGCTCGTACAACTCCTCAAATCGCGTCGCCGGGATCGGGGAGGTTGCGAGGTGCGCCGAGCACGCCGCTTCGTCCTCCCCAACCTCCTCCACGAAGAACGCCTCGCCCGATTCCCCTAACTTCATATGTATGTTTAGAGGCTCTCCATTCAATTCCAAGTCCACCTGAAACAATTCAAACTCAATGAAAAGGGAAATCATTGTGTTTATAGATTTATTGATAAATTTAAAAAATATTGATTGATGTGCTATGTCATGCTTATCCAGACGAAGTTGATTACGTATGACATGATATAAGAGTATCCATGTAAAAAATAAACAGGTGGCCGGATGAAGTAAATATTTGTGCCAAAATTTCGCCACAATTCTTAGGTAGAACTTATCCCACATTTGGCGTAATTCCAATTTTTACAATGAATCAGACGCAGATTCCTCGTCTTGTTTTGGCAATGTGTCGGCGGTCTGTGATAATTCTAAAACTGAAAAGCCACCTCCTTCCCAAAATATTTTCTGTCGTTTGGGAGAGACAGTGTCATTAACGTGACACGTAATGAGGTACTAGTGTAAATTAGGTAGTATCTAATTATAAATCTCGATTTAAGTTCAATAAGTGTGGACAATTTGTAGTTTCCGCCAGTTCTTTTTGCTGTTTTATGAAGCTATTCGTTTTTTAACAATGATGTTTTTAGCTTTCATTTTCCATATCAATCTAGTGAGTAACGGCCCCTCATTCATTCGTGCTCGGCAGACAGTGGCAGCATCAGCGACGCTGCCGGTCACGGCGAAGCCGGCGCGCGAGACTTGTTCTGTTCAGCGGTCATATCATTAATATATTTACTACTGTGTTCGGTATTCTTGATCGAAGTATTACTATAACAATGGTATTTTTTTTTATTATAGCCACTGTAACATGATTTGAAACATCTATCTCAATATTAAATACAATAATATCATTTTATGCTCAAGTCACGGTTACGTACCTATTCAAATATAGCCTTGACATAAACATGAAGAAGTTGATAAATAAGATTATAAGTATTTACATAGGAATTTAATCGTTCATATCGAAGTTTTATCAGATTAGCTTCTAATATATGTCACCGACCCGACCCAGTCCTTCGATTACGAAATATTATTAAAATCATTGATATTTTTATCTTGGTTGATTTCGATTTTTTTCACCAGCAACTTATAATTCACAAATCAGAATAGATGAATAAAATCCAGTCTTAAGATATACAGCATTTCTAAATTTTCAACTGACAGAAATACTAGTATTGTTACGAGGAATATTAAAGCTTCGTAACAATGTATGTCTAGTTATTCGATAAGGGACTTTAAGATTGACTTGTTTAATTAGATTTGGACAAATTAATTTACCACGGGTTAGATTATTTTAGTGTCATTAGCTCAGAGTTTCAGTCAGTCAAATAGTGAAATGGCGTCATTTTGAAGTGTAAGAGACGAGTATCGTAATCAGAACCACCGAAACAGTCGCGACTGTAGATGCGAAGACGGTTATTAACGGTTTTAAACATGCGGTTAAAAATTCATTATTCGTTATTAACGGTTAACAATCATCGCTGGATGACGATAGTGGATTAAAATGTGCAGTGCGAGTATAGGGTTGGCAGACCTATTATCATGAGTTTTTCTGAATTTTTAATGTAAGTAATTTACCCACAGGCTAATAAGGCTAGTGCGCGGCGCTGAGCTGAGATATAATAATATTACGTAATTTTTGGAAAATACGTGGGTAAAAATAAAATTCCTGCGTGCACTGTGACACAAATTAAAAACAACTCAACACGGAACACCATCACGAACAAAATCGTTATTTATACAGAATGATTTATTAGGTACATAATTTGAATTTTTAACAATATTGTGGAAAAATTCGCCATTGAGAAAACAAGAAAATTTTCAATTCTCTAATGGTAGCCATACACACTACGAGAAATCGTTACGATTAGACTGTCCGTCCGAACGGTACCGATAAATCGTAACGTGTATGTTATAAAACTGCACAGTTTTCTATACGTACGCCACGTACGATAAACTGTTCCGTTCGAACTGTTCAGTCCACAGAACATAGAAAGAGGTCTGATCGTAACGATTTCTCGTAGTGTGTATGGCTACCATTAGTAAGGATCCCCGGACAACCGGCCACAACCACAAAACGCCGCCACCGACATATTTGCTGTAGATTTCATACATTTTATATGGACTGGCCACGAAGCGTGTGGTGAAGGTGTGAGCGGGGCTGAACGTGCTGATTTTGATAAATTGCTAGATAAAATTAATAAAACAAATGCTGTGTTTAATGATTCTAGTCTATCTCACGTAAAATTTAATCTAGATTTTAAATTGACAGAAAAGGTTACTTTATTTTCAATGGAAAATTTTCCCGTCAAAAAAGTAGATTTTATATTATTTTGCACAGAATGTACTTGTAAACGACCAATAACTGACTTAATTGAATTCGTTACATAGTCCATCAAATTACTGACCTTCGATTTACACCAAAAGCCATGCTCAATATCTTTTATAATACTTTTGTTATAATTTGTTTCGGTGGCATAAAAAAATACGTCATTTTGAAGTGTACGAGACGAGTATCGTAATCAGCACCACCGAGACAGTCGAGACTGACTTATGATTGACACGGTTCATTAATAGTTCAAATCATCATTAAACTTTTTAAAATATATTTTTTTATTAGAAGAACTACATATACAGAACCTCTCTTCATACTGTATATATATAGGCCCGATTAAAGAACTCGCGCAGAAATGTATTTTTTCCAAATCTACTTGATAAAACTAAGCAAGTCATTTCTGTCAATAACGTTTTCTTTGGAAACATAAATATGAAACCAGAGGCTTTAAATTTTACTCGTATTAATACTTTCATATTTGAAATTAAGTTTTTTTCTCATTAGATTTGCTATTCGGCAAGAATAATGAAGTTTAATTATAAGAAAATAAATATTTGATAGTATTTTATAATAGTATTTAACGGCTAATTTTGCTTATAAAATATATTGTAATGTAATTATTTTAAAGCTTAATAAAATAATCTTCTATTTACAACATTTTTCTTCTTGTATAAGACTCTTAACGTGAAAATTGAAATGTCACCAAATAAGCTATTGCAGATACGTTAATGGACTATAAGATATATCGATTCTATATTGTCTACTATATTTATATGCATTATAAATGAGTATCCTTTTAATTGCGATGTTTAATGGTATCCCAAAACAAAGCTTAAAGATAAGACAATAAATTTTGTTTCATCCTGTTATCGAGTAGTATTTCTTTCTACAAAATGTTCAATTTAGAATCGCGTTTTAAAGATGATGATGTAAATTTTAATGTCTAAAGAAATTGATATTATAAGTATAAAGACATGCAATGTTTATAAAGAAAAAAATGTACAATGCACAAATATTATTAAATTATGCACCTCTAGCTAGAAGAAGTAATTAGATGTATTCAAACATAAAAATCCGAACTGAGTTTCTTTGACATTAGCTTTAATAAAATATTTTACAAAATAAATAAAGTTTATGTAAAATTGTATTTATGTACTTAACACTTTCAACCGAACTATTAAATCTTTTAAGTGTATTATTTTTTAAGTATGGATATAACGGTATCTACTTATCTAGTATGCAGCAAGTCAACATTTTATGTTATTACGTATTCACAAAAAGCAGAGGCGCGGCGCTTAGAAGGACAAGTTTCGCAAACGTCAATTCAACTTCAATTTGACGATTTCTCATATATGAGCAGTTCATTTTGAAGGTAGACTAGTGTTTATTGGTCAGAGAGTAAATCTTGATGTATATATCAACAATTATATTTTTTAGGGTTTTTAGTTTTGGGTTCATTGTTCTAGCATTTTATTTTTTTATTTAGTTGATATGTTTTACATTATGTGTTCCTTTTGTTTATTTAGATGAAATGTAACACCATTGTTTGTCCCCTATTAATGCAAATAAATTGAATTGAATTATAATGATACGTATACGTGCTGTTTTTATAAAAACATTAGTCAACAAATGCATGAATCACGTAGGTATTATTATAGCAATGTTAAAAATATATGTATATGAATATTTTAAGTTCTTTTCTTTGTTTGTGACTTGCATAATATTTATCTCTATCATTCAATTATTAATTTCACCTATTGAATTCACAATTAACGACCGCCGCCGTGGCCGAGTGGTTTGTACGTCGGGTTTCATGGTGTCGCCGACTCGAGAGGTCCCGGGTTCGAATCCCGGTGAGGGCAGATGTTTGTGCGATGAATACGAGCATTTGTGCTCCAGTCATGGATGTTTAATATGGATTTCTTTTTAAATATACTTATATATGTACAGTATAATGTAATCTATCCGTTACCCTAGCATCCCATAACACAAGCCTTACAGTGCTTACTTTGGGGCTAGGCTAATTAGTGTGTGAAAAAAAATATTGTAGAGTAAATAACATAATATTTAGGATTGTACCCTGAACAATAAAAACAGTTGTTATAACTAATTCGCAATAACCTACATCATAAATAAGTCGCAATAATTCAACTCATCAGCATTTAATATCATTAGATAAAAAGGATTAATGTAAACGTTATGATTAGCCTGGTGACTGAGTGCACAAAGGTCATGTGACGTAACGAGTAACCAGCTTAGAACGTCATTTTCACATCGATAACTGATTGGCTCACCGCAAACCGTTCCACATCAGCCTATAGGATGTGACGTAAACATTTGATACAAAGCGAAACAAAGATATCACCATTTCCATAATGTTTTGTTTGATAGTAGGTTGCTGTCATATTTAATTATCGCCTACTTTGCCTGGCTGGCGACAGTAAACATAAAATTCGGACTACAGTTCATGTTGTTGAGAGATATTAGGGCATTTTCGTTAATAATAATTATCAGTCTTTAAAGATTTTTGAATTTAATATACTAAGATGGAAATTAAACACTTTTTCTATTTAAGTTATACTAATTTCTGATGTAAACATGTTTTTATTTGTTTGGGTTGGATAGCGAGCTATTTATTGCGAGTGACCGCTATATGTATGATTAAAAATAGAAAAATTCTGACCTGTTACGAAATAATTTGACATTTAAAAGACTTTATAAAGTACATGGTAGATAAACTATTTATTAAGAAAGAACTTGATGTAGTGATGTTGTTATGAGAATATGGTGAACCAATGTGCTGTGACTGAGAGTAGCTGGTGCAGAAAGGTTAAAATTAAATGGTAGGTAGGGATTATTTGTTATATTTATTCAAACAAAATCTCCTAACTCTGTACTATTTGAAAACAGGTACTGTTATACAATCATCTATTCAATGTAGACATTGTAGACACATTATTGATTGTATCTAGTTCAGTAGTTGAAGGTTACTCACCACTTTAAACCTGGAGCGGAGAACGCCGAGTTTGCCGAAGCGCACGTGGAAAGGCGAGCATGTAAAGCTACCATCAGGTTGTTCCACCACCACCACATCAATGGCACCAGTTAACGTCGCTCCATTGATCTCGTTATAGAATTCACGAAAGTTCGCAATGAACTTCCCGATATAGTTCATAGAATACATGGCTGACAGTTTTTAACACCTTTAAGATTAACAGAAATTCACTCCTAAACAACAGCTGTCAATTAATCACAAGTCACAAGCACTACCCCATCCTGACGAGGTCGATGACACGCGAACTTGATCACTGGAACAAAGAAATAGACTGAATTAAGTACCGTATGTGTCGTTCTTACATCACATAAACAGTAAAATTTTCTTTGTGACGAACAAAGGAATTATAATTTCGAGCACACGTTTTTTACATTCAGATAGCAGTAACGATAAGTCCTTATAACCCACCAAATCACCAATTCGATGATATAATCCTAAAATTATCTCAAGTACAAATTTATTAATTGCTTGCTTGCAGTTTTTCAATTACTTTAACAATTTTATTGATATATATATCTAACGTATGTTTGAATAACAAACGACAGTTAAAATCAGAAATGCGTTTATTTATATCCTACACTAGCAAAATGATACATACAAGTCATATCAATCGAATTATTAGGTCGACGCGCTACCAGGCACCAGGGGCAGGATGTTACTCAACGCAATGTGCATGGTAGGCATCTAGAGCAAATATAAAGTAACATTACTTTAAATTTGATACTGACTGGTAATTAATAACTGTTGATTCAAAGAGTATTTTTTTTATACTAGAAGCAGCATATTACCCCATTACCCCACGCTGATTGGCCTGAAGCCAATCTCTATATTATGGATAAACATGAAACATAAGAAAGAAGGGATAGATAACATGCCTGCCTAGCAAACTTCTTACTGTAATGGAGCTTACAATTTACAAATTTTAAAGGCTTAGGCTAGAAGGAGGAACTTACAACAAAACTGTCGCGCGAGTAGTCTACCTATCATCGCGATTTGAAATATCATATCGATTCATTCACCCCATTCGCCTAGCCTACCGACATTGGTAAAGACGCGATGAACAAAAAGCTAACACGCGGTGACCGCGTGCGTAACGACTGAGCTGGGGACTCTGCACCGAGGAGTGATTAACCTGTGATGCCGGCTGTACACAGAGCTTAAGAGCAAATAAAAAACGGCATGGACTTGACGCTTATACCTACCTAATTACTATCAACTGTCAAAAGCACTTCTACTTTATTGAAGACATATATTAAAAACTGACTAATCAACATAAAGATATATGTAGACAGGTATTCGAATAGTTATTTTTATATTCAAACATTTCATTTATTTTATAACCGTTAATTTGACAAGTTACTATTAACCAAAACTTAGGTGTAAAGTGTAAATATATACCTGCAAGGGAAATTATTAAAAAATATTACTTTTAGCTCTTTTTACAAGCTTTTATTTAACTTGCACTGTCCGTATGGATGTAAGTTGTCCCCTTCAAAATTTGTAAACCATAATCCAATTCAGCTGTTTTTTTGTGTACTTATGTAAGTCTAGTGACAATTCAATAATATGGATCCATCGGATAATGGAGCTGAGGCCCAAATACGAATTTTGACAGCTCCGTAATCGTATCGCATCGTCAAAGTTTCTATGAAAACTAAGCTGCGCCCCTAACGGGCGTAAGAACAAACAAGCTCCTTCCATAGAAAATATGACGATGACGATAACGGCGCTGTCAAAATTCGTGTTTCCCTCCAGAGGACCCTCTGGAACGTGTCCATAGGAACATTGTAATAAAACAACGCATCCACAAGTTTGTGCTCGTTTGTTTCATCTTGACGAGTACTTTGGTCTTACATGGTATGATGATGGAGCTGCGAGGAAGCCATGGCAATGGGATCTTCGCAATAAAGCGACGTAACTGCATCGAAGTTAAGCTCGTTTGATTCGTCTTAATGAGTACTTTTGCCTGGATTTCCATATGCAACCCTATCAGATTCGGGAAAATAAGTTTGTACCATTTATTGTGAATTGTATAGATAACCCAATGCCAAGGTAAGCATGTGCCGAGGGCTGAATGGTATGAAGGTGTAAAATAATTATTAAACATGTCATATCGCTTTCGTTGCGCCGTTGTACTAAAAGCCCTTGTCCCCTAAAAATCCTACAATGGATTCTACTCTGGTGGGATGGACCGTTTATGTCATATACCTTTTTTGTGGGAACAACATGATTGAAACCTAGCTACACAAAGAAAGAGACGTTAAGAGAATGCGAAATTTAGTAAATTCAGAATCACAAACCTCCTTTCTCAAAAGGAAAAAACGGAACCCTTATAGGATCACTTTGTTGTCTGTCCGTCCGTCTGTCAAGCCCGTTTTTCTCAGCAACGCGTGGAGGTATCAAACTGAAATTCATATCTAATACTCATGCCTACTGTCCCTTGGAGCTATGAAAAATGAAACTTCTAAGCCAAACCAATCCAATCATAGTCGCAAGGGAATCAAAACCTACAGGGTACTTCCCGTGAACTTAGAATCTTGAAATTTGGTAAGAAGTAACGTCTTATAGTACAGATAAAAGAAAAATTGCGAAAACCGTAAATTTTTAGTTACATCATGTAATAAAAATATTTTTGAAAATTGAGGTTTGAACGGCACCCTCGGTGCGCGAGTCCGGCTCGCACTTGGCCGGTTCTTATGTGATTTTTAACTATTTTTAATATTTAGTTCTATTCATTAATAAGCAATAAAAAGCTAGTTCAATAAAATATTCTTAATAGTTTTTTTTACCAACTAATGTTGCTGAATAATGTATTATGTAAAGTCATTTTAGTCAACCACGTGAAAGGGAACGTGTTATCTACGGATTCGCATTTCCGGTAGACCATATATGGTTTCTGTACAATGTTTTTTTTAGCTATTGTTAATGTTAATTGTTGTTTATTCGTTAGAAAAAAATTCAATTGTTTTGTTTATTCGTAGTAAATAAAAAAAAACTATGATATTACAATTTCTGATGAAAACAATTTCATGTTTTTATTTATCTAGAAAAGTATATCTACGCGGTCATCAGTCATCACACAACAGAAAAATAATAAATTTATTGTCAGAAGATATTTAAAGAAAAAGTAGGTACAGCAAAGAGTGCTACAAAGCTAATTCTCATACTGGAATTAAGTGAAATAATGTTCTAAACTTCCGTACAGAAAGAATAGGTTCACATTCAATGTAAAGGCAGACGATAAGCCGACAGTAATATTTATAATAAATAAAATAAAACACGGACTCTACACACACCTTGCAAGATCGTGAACCGGTCTTTCAATTTCTTTAATAACATTTAGATACATATTGTTAAAAGCAAAAAATGTAAAGCCGGCGAGGCGACACAGACAGACAATGTCAAGAGTGCCTCGTGGAATAATCCGCGAGAGCTAAAGTGCAAATAAAAAACAGTATATATGAACTTGATATTAGTTAGCTGAAGCAATAATCATCATAAAAAAGGTCCAGTGTAGTACTTAATGACATTCTAGGTTTAGCGCGTTCAAGCAAAAACACAAACAAAGTCTGCAGTTTTATGATATTAGTAATTACCTATAACTTATTTTTCGCGGAAGGTTCATAACTATATGAAGAAAGTCATAATACAAGCCTGAGAACAGAAACTATAGACTACACTACAGCTCCACACACAAGCGAAGCGAGGGCGGAACACTGGTTTATTATATTTTTATATCAACTTGTCTAAAATCTTTTATAAGACTACTACTTTCTTTTTATACATAAATAATAAACTGATACAATACTTACATTTTCCCGGTTATACTTCTTATGATGATCGTAATTTATTGTACATACAATTTACAATCACTAAGTAAGTACCTACTTAAGCTTTCAAACAAAGGCGTGTTACGCTTTCGTAATTTTTCTCTCTTGCTGTTAAAACGTACCTAAATTTTGGCAGTGACTAGTTAAAAAAAAATTGCCTACTTACATAGGTATTATTACTTAACTATTAGTTATTAATACAATGAAAACACTATCATTAACATAATACTTAACAAGTACGCATGTTTACGACACGAGCTCCGCAAGCAGATATTCATAGCAAGATTAGATAACCTGATGACCATACGTAACAACAGGTGCTCTGAGTATGAACAGAAAATGGACAATTCTATTTATTTATTTAAACAGGGCGGCAAATAACACCATCCCACTTGATAGAAAGATGATAAATAAGAACCTCTAATGAAATATGTTAGCTTATTTATATAAAATTGATGCTCCGCTATTTGTTTTCAAATAATATGGAAGGTGACTTAACTGCAAAAAAGTGTTAGCTATTAGGCCTTCACCAATTATAATGTCAACAAGACTAAAGAGTATAATATGTAATAGTTAAGCCAGTACCCGGTAAATTTTAAACCGCGTGGCTAAACATATTTCAATTCACAGATTTTCATGATGACCTACATTCAACTGAATTGGATTACCGCCAATTCATTTTTTTTATTCACAACGAATAAACAAAATAATTCCAAATTTTCCTAACGAATAAACAACATTTAACATTAGCAATTGATTACAAATAACAGTTTATTGTAAAGAAACCTTATATGGTTACTACCGGAAATGCGAATCCGTAGATAACACGTTCCCTTTCACGTGGCGGGCTAGACACAACATACTATTAATAAATAACTATATATTTATATATTGATATTCATTACAGCGTAGTTAAATAGAAGAATAATATGTTCAAAAGTAGTTTGAATGAAATGTTCTAGGTTTAGTTCTAGCGTACTTAATTTTCCTAGCTCTATTCGACAGAATAGCGCCGAAATTGCACATATTAGGTAGATATAATGTTTGAATATTCCAAAACAAGGTTTAAGACCAAGGTAATAACACTGAAGAAGTATTGTATTAAAGGAACAAGAACTTATTCAGTTTGCATTTATTTTTTAAACATACCAAAATGTAAAGATTGTCATTTAAATTGATAAGTTGCTAGAGGTGAAATAAAAAATAGGTTAGGTGCACCTTGAACTCGTACAAGGAGAAGAGCGACATTGCACAGATAACCACTGATAAATAGCAAATACCAATTTTTATAACGTCATAATCCCTTTGAGATCCGTTTTCAAAAGAGTCGTCTTTATTAAACTCTCAAGTTCCTAAATATTATATTACTACAGAGATAGCATAGAATTTACATTTAAGTAAGAAAGTATTGACTTCACTCTAATATTGCATTGATAATAAAAACATACTCGACGATTAGAACCTTTTCATTTTTTGTTTAAAGTCGTTAGCGAAAAAAATCATTGGCAAGCAATAGACTTGGAAATTTAGATCTGAATAAAAGGGTTTCCCATAAAAATAAGGAAAGAATTTGTGAAGGAATGAAATTAAAACAAATTAATAAAATCAGATTAACTGTAACACTAACATATTCGTCAAAGTTTTAAAGTGTGGTGGCAAAATCTCTTATTTTAACTATAAACCTCATTTTTCTAGCGAATATGAAAGTAAAAACTCATAATACATATTTCAGAATGAAAAGCTGTTACATTAATAGATAGTAGGTAGCGAATGTTTTGTATAGCATACAAATCTTAGTAACAGAATATAACGTCAAAAGCAATAAAAGAAACACAATCAAACAGGAATTCGAGGAAATTACCAAGTCCTCTCTTTAGTTATTGTAAATTTCCTACCTTGATAAAAAAGCTTGAAACCGTAATATCACTGAACTTCCTAAGACACGAAGCTTCCTGTACTTCTATTAGTAAAAAAAGTAAATAGCGAAAATACACGAAAATGCGAATAAAACCGAGCACTAAGGCGAGTCGCGTGTGTTATCCGCGTCGATTCTACCAATATACTGTGTGCTGAGTGTAGCAGTGTCGGGCAACAAAGTACATGTTCTGACGTTGCGTGACGTCGTCTTTAGAGCGATAAATAAGTGTGCATGTTTATTTCAATGAATACATACAGTACCACAGGTCGGTTTCTCACAAACCCACGTGCCTGATATACGCTCAGCGGCGATCGAATGAGCTGCTACGGACAATCGCGTGGTATGGCGTGATATCTTGTCGCACCACTTCCGAAAGTCATTTTACACCACGCAGGAGGAATAAGTAGAATTTTCGGGGTAATTAAGTTACTAAGTAGGGATACTTACTAACTATACAATTTTTTTCCTAAAGTAATCAACGATAACATAGGAGTACAAATTAGTTTCCTCCGTTTTTAAGTAAAGATTAAGAATTCATTGTGAAAGAACGACACATTACGTTTATCCAAAGCATTGTCCATCACAAGCTACTACTTTTTCCCAACTTTCAGGCAAAATCTGGATACCACGTCTATAGACTTCTTCATCATATGAAGGTATCGTATCCACAAATCAAGCACTGCTCATGCTCAGGCAAACCATGTGCCATCGATTGGAATAAAGATAGGCAGATGGCGCAAGATCAGATGAATACGGAGGGTGGGTAACACTTTTCATTAAGTGTTTTTCAAAAGTTTTTGACCATAACAGCAACGTGAATGCGTACGAGAATTATTATATAGTAGCGATAACGATTTTTATACAAACAAACCCATACTCAATTACCTACTGTTAAAAACAGAACTTTATTGGAGTAAACTTAAAATTATACTTCCGTACCGTTTTATACCCTACCCTACCAAACAAGTTCACCTGGATGGACTCCGGACAGTGTCGCCACCTTGGATTTTTTTAAGGCGCCAATTCAAAGGTAAAATATCGCCAGATTTAAAAATTTGGATTTAAAAAAATACAACAGAATCCGCTAAATTACAATTACATCTCAGACAACTAAAAACCCTAATTTAAATAAAAAAACAGTGAATATGTATGAGATGCTACAGAAATAACTGTGTTCGTTATCCTGCAGTCGTTTTTAATTAGTATAATTTTGTTATTTAAAAAAAATGGCAATATTGTTTTTACTAACTTATAACTATTCCATGCGTTACCTTAGTAGTACTAGAGAATGAAATAAAACCAGGTAAATATGTATTTACATTCATTATTTATAATCAAGAAATAAATCTTAAACAAAATGTAAAATTTAAAATTCAATATTGTTAAATGTTACACTTCTATAACTTCATCGTCGTTCACAGACGCCGACGCTTCTGTCGATGAAGCCGAAGCTGAAGATGTTTGGTTGTGGTTGTAGTGGATTTTTGAAAGAGTATTTTGTGTTTTTTCAATGATATCTTTTGATTGCCGGATAGAATTTGCATTTTTTGTTTGTACTTTTTTGTTTCAGCATGTCTTCTCTACTACTTTTGCTAATAATTCTGCTTTACAAAATGAACAAAACGCCTTCGCATCAACACCTGCTAAAGGTTTAAGCCAAGTTTGGAATTCGTCGAGTGATTCCTATTCTTTTCTATACTTTTGTATGTAATTCTTTTTCTTGAATAGAGTTTCCATAATAACATATAATTGAATACTCTAAACATACAGCTTCAGGAGTTCATACACTGTTACAAATGTTTCTATCAAATCAAACTTTTACACTTTTTAACAACACAATGGCGTTCATTGTGTTGTTGTTAAGTGTCTAATTCATGAAACAGAATGAACGATTAAAGGAAGCCCTTAACAGTCAAACGCGTGTAGGAATTCCCCTGTCACAGAGTAAGCATAGAACATTATGAAATTTCGGAAAGTTAGGGGATTTCCCCTTACAAATATGTTGCTAGATTTCATGTTAAAAAACCACTAAAAACACTAAAAAAAATATACCCGCTAGATAATGAAAATATATCACTAGAAGCCGTGAAAAAGCACCAGTTCTGGTGGAAAAACCACCAAGGTGGCAACACTGACTCCGGAGACTTGTCCTGGCCCTTGGTTCATCTAGGTGGACCACATATAAATTTTATCATTGAGGAATAAAATACGCCTATGGTTTGAATGTTCTCATTTTAGATTTCCATATAAAAATAATTATTCGGAAAAATACATGGCTAAGGCATTCTGGTTACTTCTAGTACTTTTTCAGATTGGAAAATGATTTTTTATGGGAAACTAAAATGAGAACTTATTTATAAAAAATATTTACCATCACAAGTAATTCGGGAAAAAGATATCAAATTATCTCTACCAGTTCGGATCAGTAGGCATATATGGAATAGAAATGATTGGAATAAATGATAGGCAAATGCGCAAGATCAGATGTATACGGCGGGTGGTAGTAATATATAATTTATAGAGTAGGTGTAGACCAGGCACAAGAAAATTACCCATGTTCCATATATCCCTACTGACATATCTCCACTAGTAGGGATACTTGGAGTTTTTTTCTATTTATCACTACCAGTTGAGATATATGAAACTTTCTATTCCATATATCCCTACTGATCCGAACTGGTAGAGATAATTTAATATTTTTTTCCCGAATTACTTGTGATGGTAAATATTTTTTATAAATAAGTTCTCATTTTAGTTTCCCATAAAAAATCATTTTCCAATCTGAAAAAGTACTATAAGTAACCAGAATGCCTTAGCCATGTATTTTTCCGAATAATTATTTTTATATGGAAATCTAAAATGAGAACATTCAAACCATAGGCGTATTTTATTCCTCAATGATAAAATTTATACGTGGTCCACCTAGATGAACTAAGGGTCAGGACAAGTCTCCGGAGTCCATCCAGGTGAACTTGTTTGGTAGGGTAGGGTATAAAACGGTACGGAAGTATAATTTTAAATTTACTCCAATAAAGTTCTGTTTTTAACAGTAGGTAATTGAGTATGTGTTTGTTTGTATAGAAATCGTTATCGCTACTATATGATAATTCTCGTAGGGGAGACCGGGGCAAGACGAAGCTCGGGGCAAGACGGGAAGTGTGCTTTTGTGTGTGACTGGTGAATGCAACAGAGCTTAACACAGCGCCATTCGCTCGATGATCAGCCGCGTCGCATGAGGCTGGCGGCTGCGTATGTGTCACTGCGTGTTTTGGCTGCGTGGCGAGAAAATATAGTTTTTGGGAGGATTTTTACGACGTTTTCTGTTTTGAATCGATGTGCACCAAGGTAGGTATCAGTACTATTGCATTATCTTACCGCATACTTGTTGCAGTAGTGTTAAACTAACGAATTTAGTTTGCTTTTTTGCTTAATAATTTTGCAGGTTAGAACTGTTATTACTTTTGCAAAATGAGTCTGTTGGGGCAAAAAGGTCGGGGCATAATGACATAGTATTCCGTTTTGCCTCATATATGTTAGTAAAAGAGTGTTTTATTACTATACTATAATAAGTTTTTTATTTGTAAAAAAGTAATTTTTAGTAAGGAATAAATAAAGTTTTTAAAAGAATAAAATCAAAAGACGCAAAGAAGAAAGTGACACTAGTTCATCTGAAGGCAATGAAAATGATTGTCCTTGTATATATTGTGCGTGCTTATATTCACAATCCAATGAAGGATGGGTTATTCGTAAAGAGTGCAAAGGCTGGACCCATAATTCTTACGCAGGTATAGATGATGAGGATGAAGATACACATACATGTGAACGTTGCCGACCAGATTAAAATGTGTACTCATTATGCCCCATAGCGTTTCCCATTTTGCCCCGATCATGGGGCAAGACGAGAAATTTGGCATGTGTCATTTAGTTCCTTATTTCCAAAAAAATATGTGATTTAGAGTGATAAAACATTATAATTTTGTTAAATAAGATTATAAGTATTGCTTTTGTTCTAAGAAATTTATAATAAACAGTTTGATTTTCATATTATGACGTTTTTTCTCTTAAGTATCCCATCCTGCCCCGGTCTCCCCTACGCATCGCGTCACGTTGCTGTTACAGTCAAAAACTTTTGAAAAACACTTAATGAAAAGTGTTACCCACCCTCCGTATTCATCTGATCTTGCGCCATCTGCCTATCTTTATTCCAATCGATGGCACATGGTTTGCCTGAGCATGAGCAGTGCTTGATTTGTGGATACGATTTTAAATTTACCTTTATTATTTTACACTTTTTAGTTAGGATTATAAGACGGTATATACTGCAGTCTTGTCACTTCAATAAGGGAGTTAATATCAAGTGGATTATTAAGTACCTTGCGGTGGTCTAAACGACACCTTACCATCAGGGTCAAGGCCTTATGGGCCTCAATTTTCGCAAAAATGTGTAAAGTTAAATCAATTCCTAATTAATGTAAATTATATATTTAACTAGTAATTATTTTCCGTATCTATTCAAAAAGCCATCTTTTGCTTATGTTCTTTTTAGTAGTAAATAAAAAAATAATTTCGTCGACTATCTAAAATTGGCGACTATCAAATGCAGTGCATACCCTTGGCTCATAATTTGTTTTACTTACATAATTCACAGAACCAAATATGTAGGTGCCAGAGCTTAAATATTACTATCCTAACTATCTACACTAATAGGTAGGTGTTATAAAGAGGCAAGAGTTGTATGTGTGTAACAAATAATCTCTCAAACCTGATCCGATTTCGAAAATTCATTCACCATAAGGTAGCTAGCTTCATTATTTAATATATTTTAAGCATTAATCTGTAATCTGGGGTGTAAGGGGTTCTAAATACACCTGCAAGAACCCAAGCCAACCTCACCTTCACGTGGTGCACCCTGTTGACCAACAGACGAGGCTCTGGCAAACCGACCGATGGCGGTATAACCATCCAATGACGTAGGGGAGGAAAATGTCACTGGAGACGGGCAGCAACGTCATCAGTAAATAAACCTACGCTCTGCGATCGCCAACCCGCCTGCCCAGCGTGGCGATTATGGGCAAAACCTTCATGCACAAGAAACTCAAGCCACGGCCCCCAGTTCCCGGCAGCCCCGCTATTCCTGGTCACGGTGGC